ATAGCGGAAATAACAATCAAAACAAACCGCTTAATAATTTTGCACTTCATAGAGAATTGCTGAAATTATTAAATATAATTCAAAATTCTGTTAAAGTTTACTAAATGATTTCATATAATAATGAAAGTATTAAGAGAAACTCATTTGCATTACTTACAATTTAAATACCTTTTTTCTAATACAATCCGAGGTGACTCTATTTTTTAATACTTTCTACTCTTGGAAAAAAAAAAATAATAATTATAGCCATACACGTACAAAGTTTATCCATTTTTGTTCAGTTTTTTAAGTTTTATAAATTTTTATTAGAATAAATCTGGTTGGCAAAGGTAATAAAATTTAATTATGGTTTTCATTACTAATAATAACATTCTAATTATTTCAAGTTTTAAAAGCTTTTTATTCAACCCAGGAGTACTCAACCCAGTAGTATGAAACAATTTTTATATGAAGAATAATTTGCTTAAAGCATACATTTTACATACACGCACAAACTATAATACAAAAAAATTAATTACATAAATTAAGTTAATTTTGTTATAAAAATATAACGAGAAGCTTATGAACTTAAAGAGCATGTCAGAATACTTGACCTGACTGGAAAATAATAACTATAAATCAAAATACAAACTTGATTATCTATTTTTTTATAACTTAGACTAGTTTAAAATTATTTAGAATTTTAAAGCTTAAAAATAAACTAGGAGATTTGTTAATTTGCCAACCTATTTTCAAAAATTTTAGATATGAAAAATTTAAAAATGTCAGTAGAGAGAATTATCGGTTTTGAACCACTAATGATTATTTGCCTTATATTCAGTAACTCGTGCACATTTTTAAATTCACAAACAAATGGATGACAATCTAGAAATCGGCAAAAGTTTTGGTGGATATTCCAGCAATGAATATAGTTCCATTTGTAAAAATCGTGTTGCTTAAATTATATGCTATGCTATACAGAAAGATATTGTTTCATTTGCATATATATAAATGTAAGAATACAACACTTGTTTTTGGGAATGAAATGAAGAACAAAGGAAAAAGCTCTCGCGAATTCAAATGTTTAACTATTGATGTCGCATAAGCTGCTAATTCTATACCAACCGGAAAATATTTTTTATCTACTTTATGTTAAGATCCCATTAAGATGTCTTACTTGATGTCATATAGATTTTTATTTTTTTTTATATGAAAATGTTTTAATTTCGTATTCCGCTGTATGGGTTGTGGTTTATTAATTTCAACAGCCTGATTGTTATTATCAGATCTATCTTGAATTCCACTCGTAGAATTCTGCTAATTAAGAACTTAGTTGTGACGTAGACATTTGAATAATCACAAACTCCACTCGTAAAGATTATGAATCAACAATGGCAGCTCTATTTTCGGAGTGCCAAAATCAGTTTTCATTCTAAACTACATGATATTGCAGAAGACGATATCATGTAGATTATGATATCATAAGAAGATTGATCATTGAGTACTCTACATAATTCTAGGATTTCAGAGAAAATAAGAGCAATACTCAATTATAATATAATGTGTTAAATTTAAAACTAAAAGAGCATTCGGGTACTCAGGTATTGACGCAATAATTGTTTTATTACATATGATTATTTCTTTCGTAAACGTTTGACATTCATTTTTACTACGAATGTAATTTATGATAACTCTATTACAAATATTCGGAGCGGAATTCTAGTTATTCGGAATTGAAGACACAAGAGAATGAAGGTGTCATCTACAATTTTGACAAAAATGGGTTTATTGCATAAAATAGAAGTTTTATATATTTATCTTTCACATGCAAAAAACGACTCATTTTCAGAGATAGATTGTCTTTAAAAGGTATTATGTCATACTTTTGAACTATTTTGCTTTAAAAGAATTTTAATTTACCTTCATTCACTCATGTCTTCAATTACAATATGTCCATTCATAATTTTTCTAATTTCGGGACTCCGAACGGAATTCATGTGCTACTAATTTTTATATTTTGTTGTTTTTTTTTTTTTTGCCCAATGACTTGTCATAAGCAAGAAATAATTATTATCTCTAAACCAGATCGCTTTCATCAATAAAAAGTTTTTGCCACTTTGTAAAAAACATTTTACTTTCAATCCTTTATCATTAAAATCCATTTATTTTTAATTGTTATTACACCTAGAAATTGAATATAAGAGTTCTTCTTGCTTTTTTCAATTCAGAATAATAAGACAATCAAAAATTTTTTATTCAATTTTTTTTTATTATTTCAATAATATTTTTGTTTCGTTTCAAATAATACTTATATAGGAAAAAATTACTATAATTATTGTGATTTATAAAAAAAAATACACTTAATAATAATTAATAATAAACAATAATTAATTGTATAAAAAAAAAAAAAAACAAAAATCTTAGATTTATTATAAAAGTATTTAAAACTAGATTTAAGGTTTTTGTTCCTTAATAATTATGCAAAATATTAAAGAAATAAAAAATTCTTATTGTAATATTTTTGTTTCATAATATTTTTTTAAAATAAACAAAAAAAAAACACACTTTTCTAAAAAATAAAAAAAAAAATGGAAAATTTATTATTAAATTTTTAAAATTAAGAGAATTTAAATTTTTTATAATTATACATTTTTTTTTTACATTATTTAATCTCTTTATATAAATTTATTGTAAAAAAAATAAAATATATAATTATTATTTAAAACAATCGTAATAATTATATTAATTATAATTATACAATAATAATGACACGTTATAATAGTTATACATATTGTATAATAAAATTAAAATGAAAAAAAAAAAATACTAATTTAATTTTTTTAATTGATTAATTTCCAATCAAATGCTTAAAGTTTTACAATAATTATTATAATAATCAAATATAATAATTAGAATATGGGACATAATTTAATTACTAAGATTAAAAAATATAAAATAATAAATTCTATTATATACCATTTTATTCGCATTTCTAACCATTATATATTTTACAAATGAACCGTTAGTAGTAGTAGTAGTACTAGTAGTATACGTGAAAAATATAATTAATTTTATCTTATAATTTATTAATAATAATTAAAGTTTTTAATATAATTATTAAAAATTAATTAACTATTTACAAAAAAAAAAATTTTTATATAATTTTAATTCTTGATTCTGTTTATATATATTTAATATAATATAATTGTGTATAATAGTTTATAATGATATACAGAAGACATTTTTTTATAATTACACAAACGAACTATTTTTTTTTGTTTTTGTGAGCGACCCTAGTAGTAAGTTTTAATTTAGAATAGCGCCACTCAAAAATGAAAGAGTAGTAATTATATTTGTGTAATTAGAAAAATTATTTTCTATATATCAATATAAACTATTATACACAATGATAATAATATAATATTAATTTCATTTAATACATGATTTAGATTTTTATAAATAATGACACTCTTTGTTTTTTTTTTTTTTTTTTTTAATTTAGATTTTTTAATTTTTGTAATTTTGTATGGCCTTAACAAAAATAGTTTATAATTTTTTGTAATTTTGTAAATTTTGTAATTTTATTTATTTTTTTTTTTTTTTGTTTCATCCAAAAATATAAATATATCAGCTATATATGAATATTTATATATATATGTATATCAAAATTTTATATATTCTACCATATATAATATATATATGTATATACACGTACTTAATTTATATCCATTCCTAAACTCCTAAATACAATATTGGGTCCATAATATGTGTATGTAAGGTTAATTTTTCGAAATATAGAAGAGATGAAAAAAATTTTTTTCTCTCAATTTCCCAAAAATTTAAATTTTTTAAATATTCTCTATATAATAATTAATATATTATACAAAATTACATTATATATATATATGTATCACGAATTCCTCAGAATAAAAGTACCCGATTATTTAAAAAAAAATTTTTTTGTAAAAAAAGAAAAAAGTACCACCTATGTCTGACCTGAATTTTAATATTTTAATATTAACAATTAATTTTGTCGTTTAAAATGTCAAAATTTAAATTATACAATTTTTATATACTAATTTCGTAAAAAGGCTGGTTATTAAAATTCTTATATAATGTAAATTATATTACACATATGTACATATATGGTATATATACATTTATTGGTACTTTTTAAAAATGTGAAATGAAGATCTACATTGTGTGACAGTTCTTTAATGTCATTTACATCACATATACATTTGATTTTTAAAGATAAATGAGATGTTGCCAAATTTTCAATTCTCATTGGATGTTTAATTGCCATTTGACGTTTTACAAAAAGTACTAAAAAGTACCCTTTTATTTTGTTTCCAATGCATATTTAATTTTTAATACAAATTTTATAAATCATTTAATATTTATATTTCTAACACCTTTATTTTTTAATATAAACAAAAAATAGCAGGATATTTAAAGAGTTTAACTCTTAGTTTTAATACAAAAAATGTAGGTAGGTAGATTTTATTTTCATTTATAATTAATAAATAATTGAACCAATTAACGGTGATTTTGCATTATTTGATTACTTTATGTGCCGAACACCATCTTTGAATTGCATTTTACGTATACATATATCTATATTTTACAATATCAATTTTTTTCTTACTGTATTTCCCAAGTTCCCGATATTCCAGATGATTTAACTGAAATATTGTTGCAAATGAAAAATTTTTTATTCGTCGTAGACTTTTGTAACACTACGTAATTCACTTCTCTATAACAAGGTGACATTCTCATAAGTCAATTTAAAATGTCAAACATATCTTTCAATAATTAAATGTCAAACATATTGAATTTTGTTTTATACATTTCTATTTATTGTTACATGTTATTATTTGAGCGTCTTCAACATTGCGTCATTTTCTGTAGTTAAAATATCGTAAAATCGTTGCTATTTTAAAGTACTGCAATGGAACACATTTTTTGACACAATGCGGCGTTATAACACCAAAAATAAGAAATGCAATTTTTGTTGCATAATACGACAATGACGTGTACTTAATTGGCAATTATTTTTTATTTGTAACGGTACGGTAAATCAAATAATAGATAACCGTTCAAGTATTCAATTTTATTAATTAAATAAAATTATTTTATCCCTTTTTTGTCAATAATATTAAATTCTAATTATTCATGGAATAGGGTATACATTTTTTCTTATAATTTAATTTTAATTAAATTTCTTTTTTTTTTTTAAATTACATTAAATTTTTTGTTCAAAATTTAACAAATTTTTGTTTATATAATTTTATGGGAATTTTTTTACATTATATACATATACATAAATTTTTTCTATCACATTATCCAGCAGATACGGCGAAATGTTGAAACAGAATACCAACCATTTTTGTAACTTATTTCGTATCAAAAATCCTAATATTTTATGTATGGGTACAATTTAAAATAAATTTTTGATAATAATTATTTTATTTTATTTTCTAATATTTCCGTTAATAATAATAGAAAGTCAAAAACTTGCACCTATTTTAAAAAATATTTAATAATTCTCTTTTAGGAAATGGCAAATAATTTTCTATACAAAAATTTAAATTAAAATGAAAAAAAGAGACAACTATTACAAGAAAATAATATTTACAAGAAGGCATTATTAAGCACGAAATGTGTGGAAAATATTACCTGGAATGAAATAGAAGAAACGAACGCGGAGACGTTAGCTAGGAAACACAATACAGCAAACAACAGCTTTTTCTTTGCGTATGAATTGAGTAAAATTTGAAATTTTTAAAAATATACTAAACATAAATACAAATACACATATATTGTATATTTTCAATGTATTCATACACATGTGTTGTGTATTTTATGCATGAAACAAGTAAATAACGTATTATGTATGAAAAAGAAAATATAAATAAATTTTTGGGGAGAGAGAGATGAAACAAAAATTCAAAGCGAAAACGAAGCGGAATGAAAAAAAAAAAACAGAAATATCAAATTCTATTTTTTACTGCTATTAATGTTGGTGCTATTGTTGGCAATTGTATTGTTGTTTCCATTATTGCTATTATTTGTTTGTGTAGTGGGTGAAAGAGAAGGCACGACTTTCAAATTATTTTCTGTTTTAGATTGTTGTTGCTGTTGTTTCTGTTGATGTTGCAATTGTTGATTTTGCTGTTGTTGCTGTATTTGTTGCGGTTGTTGTTGTTTTCGAAATTTGCTAAGGATTTTAGCCTCTTTTTCATTTGGTTCTTTTTTATTATTTACATTGGTATTACTGCTATTGTTGTTGTTATTACTAACATTATTATTATTGTTATGACCCAGAAGAGGAATAGAATTTGCCCCATTCTGTACATTATTAATTAATTTTTGTAATGCTGTAATCCCAGTTGTATCTACAGTTGATTGTGTTGCATTTAATGTGGATGTTGTTGTTGGCGTTGTCATCGTTGCTGGTGTAGTTACTGTAGCCGTTGTTGTTGATGTAATTGTACTACTTGCATACATATTTAAATTTGTATTACTATTTAATTCATCTTTTTGATTGAATTTCGGAATAAATTGTTGTTGCATTTGTGGTTGTTGTAATAATTGTGGGGATTTTTGTTGGGGTGGTATTTGTATTTGTGAATTTTGTTTTTCAAAAGTGGGTGATATTAAATTTTTTTCCTTTCTTTTATCATCAAATTTTGATCTTTGTTGTGGTTTTTGTTGTTGGTATTGTTTGTGATGGTTTTGTTGATTTTGTTGCATTTGTTGAAATTCTTGGTGCTTTTTAATTTGTTCTTGTTGTTCTTTTTGGGCCTGTTGTTGTTGTTGCTGCTGTTGTTGTTGTTGTTGTTGCTGTTGTTGTTGTTGTTGCTGCTGACATTTATTTTGATCTTGCTGCGCTTTTTCTATACGAGCTATTTGATCTAACATTAAAGCTTGTTGAAAAGCTGTATAGCCGAAATTTGGTTGTGGTGTAAATTGTCCAAAACCATTTGCAAATGGTGTATAAGCATGTGGTGATATAAATAAGCCATTAGGTGTAGATTGTGCTTGAATAGCAGCAGTTGGATCATTATTTGCCACATTTGCAGCAACTGCAGCAGCCGCTGCAAAATTTTGTATTTGAGCAGCAGCTATCGCCTGTTGTAAGAAATTGGCAACATCAACGGTTGTTGTTGTAGCATTTGCTGTCGGTACATTTGCATTTAAATTAAGATTATTCGAGAATTGTGGCATTTGTTGAGATTGTTGTGGATGTGATGTTATTGGTAGTTGTTGCTTTTGTAGTTGTTGAATTGGAAAATCTGCGGGTTTTGAAACAGATATTTCAGATTTATTATCTATTGACGTAAGCATTTTTGGTGATGAGTTAGGTGGGGGAATGGTCGAATTAAAATTAATACTTCCGGTGGGAGAGTTTGGGAAATTAGTTCTAATGTTAAAATTCGTGCCTTTAAGTGGTTGTGATCCCTGTGACGACGTTTCAATCGTTGTTTTTTGCGTACTTTTTTGGAAATTAGCATTCATAGCAGAATTTAACATCGCTTTATCTTTTTGTAATGGTTTTTGTAAGTTCGGTGTTGAAGTTTGTGATTTTGTATTTGAGTTCACTGTTTGTGGGGCTCGCGGCAAAATATGACGGAATTTTTTAGTTGCCGGTTGATTTAAAATCGAATCGGTAAGTTTCGGCAATTTTCCATCTTTCTCCGGGGAAAACTTTTCTGTTGATTTTCTCTTTTCACCAATTATATTTTGATTTAAAGACAACTTTTTATCTGGACTTGGTGTTTTTGTTGAATTGTGGTTAGAAATTAAATTTTTATTTGAGCTTTTCTCTTTTGCATAAGTTGGTGAAGTTTTTTGATTAAGGTTTGAGATCGTTTGACTTGGAGTATTTGGCATGTTCGAGCTAAAATTAGGTGAGGTTACAGAATTGTTAGCCTTTTGTGAACTATTAATAGAATTCGTAGATACATCATTAGTTTTGGTTGGTGTGGGTGTTGATGTTTTAGTGTTTGAAATATCTGTTGAGATTGAATCAGATTGATTTGGTTGGTCCGGCAACTTCAATATTTCAATGTAATTATTTACTGGACTCTTGTGTTTAGAGTTGACTACATTGTTAGTTTTGTTATCAGCTTCTTCGTTGGTAATGGTTATTGATAAAGAAGATGGTATATTAATGTTACATGAATTAAGAAGCGACTTTACCTTTATTCGTTTTTCAATCGGCTCTTCATCTTTGTTTTCAGTAACAGCACTCGTAATTTTACTAGCGATTGCTAAACTTTGCTTTTTAGCTTCATTGCTGTCCAAAATCGATTGTTGCATCGGGTTTCCAAATTTTGCTACTTCTTCATTTCTCTTTACTGGTGGTCCAGGAAATAAACCTGAGAATTGATTATTGTTTCCCAGTACACTTTGTAAATATGACGCAGCTGCACCGGTATTATTTGCATTTGTTTTTGGAGTATACTTATAGGTTGGTTGTACAGGAATGTTATAATTTGGAACATATTGTGGCGAATTTGGTGAATATATTGGTGAACTAGATGCATAATTGGGAGTATAAATTGGTGTTCTGTATCCAACAGAAACATCAACAGCACGATTTCTTGTACAATTCATTAAAGCAAAATTTAAATAATTTGTATTATTTTTTGTTGTATTTGTTCCTTTAAGTTGATTATTTTGCATTATTTGTAAAGGTGAATTAGATTTTAAATTTTGATTAGTATTTGATCCATTCAAATTCATTGCTGGACCATACACCTTAACAGGTGGATATTCTGTACCAGTTAATGGTTTTATTTCTGTACCAGAATTTTTTAACATTTTATTTACATCACTTGGAATATTTGCAAATGGATTTGGTCGATTTTGTTTTGGTAAAATATTTGCATAACGTTTGGCTATTGGAGTTCTACTACCTGGTGCTGCAATAAATTGTTGAGTTTGTGAACTAGCAATACCACTTGGTACTAACATTGATCTATTAGGATGTGGTGTAGTTGATCCTGGTTGCGAAATACGATGATAATTTCCAAGGGGATTTTGAATAACATTATGTTGTGAAAATTTCTGTTGTTTCTGTTCATTTAATTTTTTATTAGATTCTAATGGTTTTAAAGGTGGTGGTGGAGCGGGCATTATCTTCTTCAGAGAATTCTTCTTTGAGGAATCAGCTAACATTTTATTAACAATATTATGCTTTTGTGGTACTTTGAATTCTGATGTAGGTGAAGCGTTTGATTTTGGTGGTAATACTGGTGTTGACAACGGTGATGATGATGGTGATGATGCTGGTGGCGGTGGAGGCGGTGGTGGAGGTAAAGGTGCCGTGAAATTTTGTGATGTTTTATCAGGTAATTTGTCAGAATTAATTTTTGTTTCTTTATTCAAATTGTTTGTTTTCATAACATCATCTTTTTCTGACTGAATATTATTTTGTGGTTTAATATTTTTCGGTGATTTTTTAATGGCATTTGATTCAGTTGACGAAGTAGAATTAGATTTTAAAGGTGGACTTGAACTTTCAAATTTATAAACATCATCACTAGATGATGACTCTTTTACTGTAGTTGTAGTTTCTGTTATTGTAGTTTTAGTTGGTGACTCTGTTTTTGTTAATGAAGAAATTGTATTTTCGGTACTGCTACCAATTGGGAATGAACATAATTTAAAAGAGATAGTCTCAGATGAAGTGGAATTTTTCCTTTCTTTTATTTGATGTTTCTCTTTTTCTTTCTTTTCAATTAAATTTGGCAATTCTGGAATTTCATATTTTTGTTTCTTTGCTGAAGTTTTCATCAAATCTCGACTTTTTCTCTTCTTTTCAGTAATTTTACTAGCATTAGCAAGTAATAGCTTTGATGATTTTAGAAGCGCTTGTGTTTTAGATAAATAAGATTGTGAACTATTTGTACTACTGGAAGCATTTTGAATATCTAATTTATTTGGCGATATATTTTTAATGGAGGTTAAAGAGAATGCATTTAAAAATTCTGATTTCTTTTCTTCTTCATTCAAATCACGTGATTTCTTATCATCAATGTTGGAAGTATTGTCTGTTGTTTTATTATTGTTACAACTACTATCATTATTGTTATTGTTTGCTAGAATTTTCGGACTTTTATTCTTTGCTTTAATTGTTATTGGAGGAACAGTTTGCGGACTTATACTTTTTGATTTTATTTCATGATTTGATGTATTTGGTGATGGACTTGAACGTTTCTCTTCTTTATCACCTTTTAATTTAATTTTCCATTCTTTATCTGGTTTAACCATTTTAACAATTTCTTTGGGTATTGAATCAGGTCCAGACATATTTATAATTTTAATACTATCCTGTTTTGAAATATCAATTTTCATTTTAATATTTTCTGGTTTTCTATTCTCATCATTATTTGATGATGTAGCAGTAACTGTTTGTTCCATTGAATTTTTATCAATTTTGGAGTGTTTATTAGTACTATTAATACTATTATTGTTATTGTTGCTGCTATTGTTAGAATTACTGTGATTGTTATTAGATTTTTGATTTTGATATTTCGGTGATATATCGTTATTAATATTATTAGAATTTTGAGGTTTCGGTGATGTTATTTTTGGAGTCTTATTCTTTCCGACTAGAGTAATTTTTAATTTTTCAGTCTTCTGTTGATCAACTGAACTCGAACTTGAATTTGGATTTGGTGAACTAAGTGGTGAATCTGATATAAAATCATAAACTGAACTCGAATCTTGTTTAGCAGAAGAAGAATTAACATTATCTTTATTTAAACTATCTAAATTTATATTATAACTTAAATTTTTTGTATTCGAAGTATATGAATATTTTAAATTTTCTTTTATTTCTTTATTGATATGAGAACTTTCTGATTTATTATATAATTGATGATTATGGGCAGTATTTATTTCATTATTAGAATTTTTATTCTTACTATTATTTTTATCTAATTTTAAAATTGTAGATGATGTTGATGATTTTAAACAATTAATTTTATTGTCATTAGCATTACTAATATCAATTTTTTCATCTTTAATTTCAATATTTTTTAAATTATTCTGATTTTCTGTTTCAACAATTGATTTTTGTTCGGAAAATTCTTCTTTTACTTCATTATTATTTTTATTAACATTATTACTATTATTATTATTATTATTACTTAAATTATTTGTTTTTTTATTTGTAATTAATTGTACATCAGTTGAATTCATTGACGATTTATCATTTGTATTATTTGATGATTCAATTTCTGATTTAATTAATTTCTTTTTAATTCGACGTCTTATAGTTTTCTCTTTAACACGAAAAAAGAAACGCATTGGTGCTTCACGTTTCCATGTATATATGTATGCGACATCCATTAATGTATAATGATCATATAATACAATTGTTATAACTTTATACATAATTTCAACATCAAAACGTTGTGTATCAATACCAAATTTCATTGTAACAAATTTCTTTAAATGTGCTACAGTTAATATGGCAGGACATTGTAAGTATTTTGGAGTTCTTAAACCGTATACATCTTGATTTGGTGAAATTTGACTGTTTGAAAACAAGAAAACAAAAAAAAGAAAAACAAAGAAAAAAAATTTTATAAATAAAATGAATATATTTTAGATATTTTAGCAAAATTAAATATATACATTTAATAGAAAACAACACAATCATTTTTGGGGGAGAAATAAAATACAATATACTTATAACATGCACGCACAAAAATACACTCAGACAAAAATTCAATATAATAAAATACTTACTCAATATCAGCATATTCTAATGATAGTGACATAAATTCTGTAGGGCTGAATATTAAATTTTCTGTATCTTCACCTCTTTGTTCTGGTGTTGCTAATGCAGCTTCTTCTGGACGGTCACGATAAAAGGCACGTTTTCTCATCAATTCTCTTTCATAAAGACCAGGAACTAATTTATATACAATTGCCTGAAGTGTTGTATCAGGTCTAAACAAAATAAATACCAAAATAAATAAATAAATAAATAAATAAGAAACACAAAAAAAAAATAATGTAATGTAATCATATTGAATACATAATCAAGGATAAAAAAGAATTGTTTGAGTGACTCTAGTTAAGGTGAAGGTAATCAAAAATTCCTTACCGAATTTAATAATATAAAACTCACAAACATTTATTTTTACGTATAGAATTTTATTTAAGGTGTTATATTTATAAACCTTGGGAAATAATAATAGAAAGGGAATATTATATACCTTAGCTTGCAGAATTAATTCGCATTTATTGCTTCACATATATGAGAAACGTGGTTTGAAATGCAAGTGTAGTAAGCATTTTATGTACCTACAAATAAGGTAAACCAAAAAATAATAATAAAATTTCGAAATTACGAAAAATGTGGTTATTTTTGATTAGTTTTTCTGATATATAAATTCAACAGGTAAAAATATGTTTTAGAAAACTTAACAGATTTCGTGACTTAATAATTTATTCTGAGCAATGCTTTCGAAATTTTAGTTTTTCAAAAATGAAAGCTAGTTTGGCAAAGAAATTTTAAAAATTTTTTCAAAACTATCGCTGAATTTTAAATAGTTTTTATTCAGAACATCTTCGAATGAATAGTTTGTTCAAAAGTTTATGTACATATTTTAGTTAGCAATCCACAAGAGTCTGAAGTAGTG